ATTCAGTTGAAACTAGAGGTAGTAGAGAGTGCACTGATCGAGAAAAATCCGCAAAAGAATGACTGGGTACTTGCAAAATGGAATCCCATTTCCTTCCGCTTTGGACGGGCCACCGACCAAGAGGATTTCCTTGCACGTGCTAATCCCAATAGGCGGTGCCAATAAATTTTACTCCAATTGATTACGCATAATCAGGAAAAATTAAAATACAGCCGCTCAACATAAATTGCCCCTCTCGAAATGTAAAGCATAGCACAGCGAAGGAGGCGGGCTGGACACTGGAGGCGGCAGTGGCCAGGGTAAGGCTTACATTTGCTAAGCGGGGATGGGCGTGCCTTTCGCGGAGATGCATGTCTCTACTCACTTCTTTGGAGGCCCGCCGCCCTTTTCCAATATGGCTACCTCCTCTTCCGCCATGTCCCATTCATCATAACATCATCCTTCAAACCCTCATCCCTGTGGGTGACCGAACTTTGAGAACAAGCTGAAAAAAGGGAGCCCTAAGATGTGTAGTACGAGGTGACGTTGCGGCAGAAGCTGTCCCAGAAACAAAGCTGTGGGGATCCAAACGACTAGTCGTCCACCCTTTGCTGCGATATCATTCGGCTTTCGTATCGCTCTCTGCTATGCTCCCTCTATTTTCAGTATTTTCGTCAGCTCTTCCCCTTTTTCCTAAAAGAAAATCCTTTTATCACTCCCATTTTTTACATTCAAGCGAATTGCCACACGAATTTGAATGTAAGGTCTGCCTGTTCAAGAGTCGCTAAGAAGAGCGTTCCGCCCGCTCAGACAAAACTCATCGTTTATTTTTTTGACGAAAAGAAATTCCGGCACTTTTTGCCTATTACTGCCCCTTCAAAACTGAAAGGATTTCTATCGAAATTCTTCATGACTGTGGAATTAGCTACAGAGTTGCCTTTAGGGATAGTTCAACCTGGAGAATATGAATTCCACAACCGTTCAGCGTGAAAACTCCTATGACCGGCGCCAAAAGTGGCCAGGACCCCTTGGATCACCAAATTCGCTGGAAACTCGCCATCAGGGGTAGTTTGACGCAAACAAAAAAAAACATGAATACGAATATCACAGTGGTTCGCTGCGAGTGAGCTTGTAGCCTTCATCGCGGCCGCGGGCGCAGGACTAATGCAGTGGCTCCAGTCCTGTGGCGCTGGCGCCAAATGTTTTTGCGCTGAGCTGGTGTAATTTTCGTGTTCTATAGGTTGGAATACCCCTTCAGACAACTTTCTTAATCTTGATCATGAATAAGTTTCGATTAAGATCCTGCTCACTTTTTGAAAATTAGGGCAGTAAAGATTTAAGTAAGTACGTAGTAAGTGCCAAAATTCCTATACTTTGAGGCTCCTTTGATCAAAAAATACGCAGCAAAAAAAATTCAGAAATTGAACTAAATTTCAATGAACGAACTTTTACGGAGTTGCTCCTGCACAGCCGCGTTGGCAGCAACTTTACGTTCCCTTATGGTAATTTGTGATGAGCATGCATCATTAGGTCACTACGCGAATCCACACGAAATGCTGTTTGACGCGCGCGATATACTTGAATGGGACGTAATATGCCACGGGCAGCAGCAAATTGAGCGGCGTTGCTCCGTGGCATTAGGTCACACATCTCAACTTTCTTTAACACGTTGACGACATTGTGCAGCGCATGCGCATCACACCTTGAGCACCGTGTGGGACCGTGTGCAGCGCATGCGCTGCACACACAAAATATTTATTTTTTCGCGCATGCGCTACTTCTTTTCTAATTTTTTGCATCTATTCTATAGACTACACCATAATATGACTAGGTTCATTGAATGGTTGAATATGCTCCTTTTTAGCGAAGGTTTTCTAAGCCCTACGAATTTCCCAATTGTGTTCATTCCTAGTTTCCTTTATATTCTGATAATCTTGGTCATAAAAAAGAGCAGTAGAAGTAAGTACAGACCCACACATATAGCAAGACATATGTTTTTAGTGGAGCAACCGCGTCAAAAATAATTTTGAGGTTCACTGCAGCAAAAGCAACTGAAACTTGCCTTTCATCGCCAGAAAACGTCAATTCGATCGATTTTTTACAGTTGTCCCTTCTGATAAGTTTGACACATCGAATATCATTCTAAACATTTTGTTGCATCCGAGTTTTGGGTATTTAAAGCTCAAAATTCACGGATTTGATGTGAGGCGGCGGCGCCTGCAAAATCGCCGTGGTCCCACGCGGCGCAAAAACCCAAAACGCGCGTTGTCGTCAACGTGATAATATCATAGTCTCGGCGACTCTTTTCGGGCTATTCTTGCGATTCGTTTATCTGCAAAATCGATCACCAGAAAGTCATTTGGCGGGCACACCATCTTTTTGTGAACATGCTAATCACGATTCTAGTTCACATGAGCCAATCGGCAGGGTTAAACCCAGGGTTTACTGGAAGCATTCAGGTGTTCGTGAGCGCCGAGCGGCACAGCACGATCTCCCATAGCAATAGACCTATCCCTACAGAGGGAAAGCTCAACGGCGCTTCTGACGTCACGGCAGTGGTGAGCGCGGCGGGATCAAGGACAGTGGCCAATTCTGCAGGTCTACGAAGGTTTCGAAAGTCGGTTCTTCGAACCATACACTCGTCGTGCTCCCCCTGCGCTCTCTCGCCGAAATACCGGAGTATTGTGTCTCACACATTCAAACTTCTGGCGCGCTGTAATTGACTCACACACCCAGGAATCCCTCCTCCCTCCTAGGCTGAGAACTCTCACCTTCCTCTTTAGGATTTGGAACCAAGTGTTGTTGGCAGATTACCAACCTGTTCTCTTCTCCAATCAGTTGTGCCGGGAACGAAATGGCTGTTTTACGTATAGATACTATTCTCCCCTAAGAATGAAATTCGAGAGTGTGCAGGAATTCATACCTTCACGTGTAAGCCCTGTCAAAGTAGGCACGAGTGAGTTCAAGATAATTACAATGAGTGGAAATGCAGTTTGAGTGAGGGGGATACTCCTACTTATCCTATGTGTAGTACTAGAGAGCGTTCCTTTCGGCTCTCTAACACTGAGGATGAGAGAATATCAACGATAGGGTAACAACTCTTGATGAGGATCGGTGCATGTCTTACTTCTCACACATCTTGGCATTTTTGGCACGTGTACATCCCTGGAGCTCCTCAACCCCCTAGGATCGGGCAATGACATCCATTCCCTTAGATCAGGGCCATTTCCTTGGACCACTGCAAGTCTAAATGTGATGCGAATTGGTAGTCCTTCTACACTGCACCGTTAATTATCGAAAGTGTGTTTTGAAGGGAGCGATTACGAGTCATGGGTGCTCTTATCCTTATCCTTGGTACTGGAGAGCATAGTTCGGGGAGAGCCCAACCCAAACTTCAATTTCACCTAATTAGTCTCACCGTTCGTTCCTTCATTCGATTCCTGCCAGCACCTAATCGACGATGAAGATAGGCCACGAAAAAATTTTCGTGGTAGGTATTTAACAGATTATTGGAGGTAGCGCCCTTCTTTGCTGGTCCCTTCGTCGTACCCACCGCCGCTGTGACGGTGCGCGTGCTCTCATCGGCGCCAACAGCGAACTCTAACTCGGAGAAAATTTTCCGCAGGCTGACCGTTGTACAGATTCTCTCTGGCTAAAGCTGACGACACCAAAAATACCAAAATATTTTTTAACAGTGAATGCATTTCAGAGCATGACTACCGAGGCCGAATCGTCAATGGTGAAAGTTTCCGAAGGTGTGAAGAATCGTTTGAATTCCGGTGAATGGTATGTGGCCTGTGGAACTGATGGCATTGAACCTTTGGAGAACGAGGAACGTGAGCACTGTCTCGTCGAAGCTGAGACATTCGTGTGCTACGTTGTCAAGAAGGACTAAACACACATCAGGCCAAATACAGCCATTGTGCACTGCGGTTGTAGGAACCGCTTTTAGCCAGCGTAATGTATTTCTCATATTCTTTTTACATTTACTAGATGAATTTTGTTGAATGTGACTATCTCGCTGTACTGTGGTCAGCAACGCAGGTACACAAAAAATTCTTCATCAAATACAACGGTTTCTTAAGGTTTGAGGCCAGTACACCACTTCACTACAGTGCGTTGAAGGAACCTTTCCAAAAAATTATGATTCTACCTTACTCGTGAATCACTGGCTTGAGATCCATCATCTGCGATAAGAACGAAAAGAGCATTTATTCATTTGCTATATTTTTTAAGGCCGCGTTCATAGTTCGCGACTCGGGAGATTAGGATAGTAGGCGACAGGATATTAGGATAGTAGTAGAGTAGGAGATTGCGCTGACAAGATTGGATACGTATCGATTGAAATCGCTGGAGAGTAGTAGATTGGGCGACTTCAAGCGAATAGATCAATACATATCTAATCTTGTCAGCGCACTATCCTAATCTACTACTATCCTAATCTCCTACTCTACTACTATCCTACTATCCT